GAAACGCAAATTGTGGTGGAACCCCCACCCTGGAGGACCAGGAAATCGGACTTCGTTTGACCTCTACCCTTCGCCCCTCCAGGCTGGATTAGATTTTCGGCCTGACGAAAGCCATCCTGTGTAGTTCATCAAGTCCGAAACGTGCAAAAACCATAGCACATCTCGTCGTCGAATACCTGTAACTACTTACAGAGCACAACATGTGCCACTTCGCTCTTCCATTGACAGGTTAGATTCCTTGGAGCGTGTTTAGGACATTAAAGTGACTGCAGATTTTCTTAAAACCAACGATCGTTTTGGCTCACTGAGTTGGTTTCAACAGAGTTCAACTTTCATTCGCTTTTATGCCACAATACCTGCTTTAGCACTCAGTGGACTCAAAGGGTTTTAAGGAAAGGGACCAGATAAATCTGGGAGCGGTTTCATCCGTGCTGAAGATGTCACGAAAGAAGTATTCTCGTATCACGCTTGGTATGCATAAAACCCACTCGCGTGCGTCCACATCATTCTGCGAATGTAAGCTGTCCACCGACCTAATATCATCGCGAATGCTATGACGACCATCAAAACACTAACTGTGCGTTCGGAGATTAGTTTCAAATAGTCTAGATGTGTAGTAAATGGGCTATTATAGGTTGGTTAGACCGTGGTTAGGAGTGCACGCCTTTTGCGACGACTGAAACCAGCGCACAACCACATCATCATCATCGTACAGCAAGATACAGTGAAGCGAACTGCACTGATCGCTGCCAAGCTCACAGTGCACACAAATCAAGTGATGAGGCACAAGATAGAGAGGGATGAGGCCTCGTTGGAGGGAGGCGAAGAAAGTGAACCTCTATGGTCAACACACGTTAACACTCGATGATATTACACTGCTATAGACGCGTTTACGTTTGCTCTACCTCTCTGCTCCCGTAATCTCGTGTTACTTATACACAGTGTTTTAAATTTTCTCCCCGCTGATTGCATACTTCTTTGCAAGCAAATGTTAGATTATTTTTGTGCTGAATTCACCGTCAAAGTTTTATAATACGAATTTTTTACAAGTTCATACTTCCTTTGTTCTGTCCACAGTTGAGTCGCGTTGTAGTTGAACATGTGCAATGTCAAAATAACAGTTCCGAGTTTAAAAATCTCCTCTGATCTAACCTTATTCCATTGTTATAGTTGGTTTCAGTAATGTTCAAATTTGAATTTTTCAAATTCAGGTTTTTATTATGGGAAAAAACGTACGAAAACCTCGCTTATCAAATTCCTTATGGTGTTTACACTTTGGGTTCGGAACACGATTCACAAGATCACTGTTAGTCCATGTACGTAAAAGAGTAATGTAATGTTTGTAACGAACACAGGAGAATATATTATGTCGTTGGGTGTTGAAACATAATCTTTGCCACAGCATCATCAAGCTGACGCTTGAAAGGTACTCATGTTGGCGCACAGACCATGTTAGATGGTTGAGAGTTCTGTGTGCTGCACACTCTGACTGCAAACGAATGGCATCTGCAATCGAGTCGGCTCTTTGGGGGTGCAAACTTCAATGGATGCCTTCTGAGATAAACATTAGTTGATAGAACCAGAAAAGATCTACATGGATGGTTAGGCTGTTGGAAAATCCGATACCGTAAGATCATACCACCTCTGATTTGACGATATTGAGACGAGTATAGCCCAATAGCTGTAATCTTTCGCCATAGGTCTTGGAATGTAGATCTTAGACCATCTTGGTAGCCATTCTCTGCAGATGTTCGGCGGCCTTCCGATCTCGCTGCAGCCATGGGTTCCAGGCCTGAATTGAGTAATCGATGTATGGACGGATATATGTGGCTAACAGACGTGGAAACAAAGCCGGCTGAAAAAATGTAAGGCGTGTCAGATTCCTATTAATTGGCTCTTGAAAAAATCCAACGGTTGATGCGAAAACAACGTGGAATGATAGGGCATTCCAGCCGGAGTACACTTAAAAAAAAATAGATTAACGCCGGCATTCTGGTCGGGTTTTTGTTTTCGGACTAGTAATTTGAAAAGCTGTCCCCGGATTTTGTTAAGCACGGGCAACATGCAGTAGTAGTATCTAGAGTGACCGTAAACAATACTGGAAGGCGATTGCAGACAGCATGGAGCTTGCAACCGACTTTGGAAAGCTATTCCGTCTAATTCGTGTCTCAGCAGGAAAGAGGCTGACATCGGAACCACTGTTACGCAGCACCACAAGCCAACTTATTCAGGGAAC